ATAAAACCTGTCCCTAATATTCTTCCCAGCTGTCTGGGTGGTGCATGTTTGTGACCCCGTGGCTGAAGTCCTTATTTTGGGTGATCTGCTGGGGAAAGGGCTGCTGACAGCTCCAAAATTGGGTCAGGACCTGTGGAAGAGGAGAATGGTTTGAAGATTTGCTGGGTGCCTCCGGGGGGCTGGCAGGGCAGGAGAAATACGGTGTTTGTCAGCCTCCTGGACATCATTTCATGGGAAAACTTAAAGGAATGTTAAAAATAGAGGTGAGATCCCCAGACACAGCTCAGGTCTGCTATGAATCTGGCCTCAAACCATTAAAATGATCTTAAACTCCTTTTTATTTCTTTTCCTATTTTTCCCCCCAGAAGCCTGCACTGACTTCCTCAGCTAATAAAGATTGGGGCCATAAACTCTGCTGTGTTGTCCCAGCAAGGCCGTTCCTTTTGCTAAGCTTCTTCCTCCTGCCTTCAAGTTCCTGTTACTACAGTTTTAGTTTCTACATTTGCAGCAATCCTTCGTTGCTGAGCTGCTGCAGTTTGATCCCTGCTTTTTATCCTGATTCCATAACAAACATGTTGTAAAGCCTCTGCTGCTGGTCTGCAGACGGTTTTTCCAGGAAAAGTGTTTCATGTATTACAACTTAAAACACGGGTGGATTTATTAGGATTTAATGTATTGGGAGCTAAGCCTTTGGTCTCCCTTTTCATATGGTGGTGGAGGTAGACAGATGGGAGCGATTTGAGTAATTTATATGTTAAGAAGTAATAATCTTTGCAGCCATTTTATCTGCCCAAATGCTTTTACCTTTGATCTTTCTGTTTTCGAGAAACACCTTGTGTTTTTTTTCCATACTTCTTCGCCTGCCAAAGACAAACATCTCTGAAGACTCCTTTGAGCGCTTCCCTCAGCTGAGGAGAAGTGATGTCTGTTTGTCACCGCCCCGTCCAAATGCCTCCACACTTAGCTGCAAAGCTTCTTGGTATTTAAGGGCAGAACAGCCAAGGGAAAAATGCTCTCCAGAGCTTGAAAAGTGCATTGTCCTCTCGCAATGGAAATCTGTAGCCCTAGGTCTCGTGGTATTTAGAAGTCAGTAGATCTACTAATTAACGTTGCTCACTCAATTAAAAAGCCCTTGATCTGAGCCCACCAATGGATTTTTGGTATCTGTAAAAATCTTTGCCTTGTGTCTGAAGATTTAGCGATTTCTTTACTTTCAGACCAAGGCTCAGTGGGAGGAGACACGGGTCAACAAAATGAGCTTTGGTGCTCCACTGGTCTGGCTGCAGAGGCTGTCCTGGGCTGCAGCTGGGAAGGGGCTTAACTGCAATAATTTACTAGGCTAGGTAATTACTGGATTAAGGGTGAGTGTTGTAGTACTGGGGGATGGCACTGACTGAAGATAAGGTTCTGTTAGAAGAAGGCAGTAGGGCCAGAGGAAGAGTGGCAAAGTCATTCATGATGCCTCTTTTTGAAAGGTCCCACAGCTTGGGGAATGAGGCAGATGCCAGCTAAGTTTTACTTTATTCTATTTGGGCTATATCCAAGGAAGCTAGGAAGAGAAATATTTTTATTTCACCAGGGTAAAGACTTATCAGTACTACACTGCCTCTCTTTCACCTCTTGCTATATATACGTGCTTGCAAGAAGGCTCTTCACAGCCCACTTTGTTTGTGTGTTAATTGTTTTCTCTGTCTGGCACTTTTCATCTGTTGAGTCTGTTATTGTTGTTTTCCAGTGGTAAATTCAAGCTGAGCATCACATGAACTGGTCTTGTTTTTTATGGGAAATTCAAATAAAGTTTTCTCCATAAGAAAAATCCCTGAAGTGACAGCCTAGATAAAGACATTTTATCCTAAGAACATAAGCACAGCATGATGTGCAGATCTCTTGATTTGACAGAAGCCCAGCTCTCTGTAGCATTAAGGCTTATTTCAGGGACTTCCTTAAGAAATTTAGACCCATATATGCCCTCCATTTAGAAATCTCTTTTTCTCTTGCAAGGTTCACTATCTTGCTGAAGTCATGAGCCATAATAAAATCTCTGATCATGCTCCTTTTTTTTAGAAATGCTTCCATCATCATTTGTCTTATTGTACCACATTCCTTCATACTTTGCAGCATGGACATCCCTTATTAGCCTTGTGTGGGTAAAGTCTCTTAGTTTTGGGTGCTGTGGATGACAGTGATAGTAAAGTGTGGGTGATTGGTAGGCCTGTGAAGTGTGCAACCCCTAAATCCTGTTTTAATTCAGAGGATTGCCAAGAGAAACAGTGGATGGGGCACATCACTGGAGGTGTTAGAAACATTTCTTCTCAGAAAGATGCACTGACACAGCTGCCCAGGGAGGTGGTGGAATCACCGTCCATGGAGGTGTTCACAAGCTATGGAGATGTGGCACTGAGGAACACAGTTTAGTGGGCATGGTGAGGATTGGTTGACAGTTGGACTTGGGGATCTTAGTGGACTTTTCCGCCCTTCATGATTCTGTGGTTCTTTGATTCACATGCTGGGTGCATGCAGGCTGATGCAAGCGCATTGCAACCACACAAACCCACCATGCAGACACAGCAACTGTATGCATGAAGGTATGCAATGCCAATGCTTCCCATGCACCTCTACACCCTTCAGAACTCACGGCGATGAAATTATTCCCATGGTGTTTATCATAGAATCATGGAATCATTAAGATTGGGAAACACCACTAAGATCATCAAGTCCAACCACCAACTCATCACCCTCATACCCTCTAAACCCCTGTGCCCATCATTTCTTCTGAAGTCTTTGCCCATAGCAAGGAGTTTGGAGCTAGATGATCTTTGAGGTTCTTTACAAATCAAGCATTCTGTGATTCTATGATTTACCAAGCAGTGTCATTGCAGAGCTTATCTGCCATGTACATGGAACTGCCCAACATTGAGGTGGGAAGGAGATAGAGGTGAAATCCAGCAGGAGCAGAGTGGCTGGAAGGAAAGGCAAAGCTCTGAAATCTCAGTTCTAAAACCGAAGTGAAAGGGTAGGCGAGGTGTGAGCAGCCCATGCCTCCACAACACGTCTCCCACCTGGTTTCCCCCTCAGTGGCTGAGCTCTGAAAACCTCTTGGGAAAACCATCAGCCCTGGGAGGCTGCGTGGGTTTAAAGTCGAGAAATGCAGTTCAGAGATGATTCTCTTTTGCTTGCCATGCGGTTGTCTTTTTTTTTCTGTGCCTCTCGATTGGAGCGGATGTGACTCGTCTCATCAAATTGGCATCCGCAGAGTAGATGCTGATTGCAGCAGCAGTCACCCAGGGCTCCCGAACGGACTGCAGGGATTGAGCCAAGGCAGCTGAAGGAGTCCAGGGCATGATTCATCTCTGCTTCCACTCCACGTCTAAAATAGGTCTGGAAAGTTCAGCTCAGAAAGTGCCGATTTTTCTCTGCTGGCTGTGAAAGATGCTGACGGTGGTCAGCTCGGCTGTAGTCCCCGTTGTGGACATCCATGTCATCAGGTGGATCCTATCCAAATGGTTCCTGGATGGGTTTTTGAGCAGTGCTCAGCACATGGGGCATGTCTTTGGTTGCTGCAGATGTTCCTTTAGTATAAATAATACCAACATGCTCGAGGACACATATTCTCTCATTATTCTACCTCCATGTACATACTCTTACGTCTACCACAGGTTGATACATATTTGCTAATATAAGAAGACTAAGGGTAGGGGGGCCGGGTGGGTGAGCGTGCAGTGCTTGATATGAATAGGGTGAGATAGGCTGATATCATCAGACAACAGCATTTCTGCATCCTGATTGATTGAGGTGCTCTGTTTCCACATTAACTTGCAATAAAGTGCTCTCTCATGCCGATACGCATTCATCATGTGCAATTGTGGAGACTGTTTATAACTTAATTTACTCCGAGGTAATGATGATTATATCTAAATATTTATGGAGAGGTCAGTGCAAGTAAATTTCTCAGTAATTCTGTTTTGCTTTTCTTTTCTTTCTCTTTTCTTCAGCCAGCCAAATTATCTCAATGCTCCCTACAGACCTTCTGCTAATTCCTTTGTTTGCAGTGACAGTTAGTGGAGAAAGAAGGCTGATTAACTGCAGGCTGCCTCTGTGCCGAGCCAGCCAAGAGTCTAACCAGAGGTGTATGGCTCGTCTCTCCCTTTTAATTTTGAACTGCAGGAAAGTCATGGGCCAGAGCTGTCTATTAGAATATATCTAAATCATGCATGTGTTTGTGTGTGCTAGCAGCACAAGCTTCGCACCAGTGCTTTCACAATTGATGCTCTCTGCAGTTGTGAAAGCGGGCAGCACTACGATGGGAGCACTGGTTGTTCTTCCTCTGCCGGTGATTTTTTCAGTTCAGACCATAACTGATCATCTTTGAGGTGGATTATATACACCTTAGAGTGCCAGTTAATTTTGGAGTGTGGGCATTTCCCCATTTCTTCTATTTGCTCTTTGTGCTTTTTATCTCATAAGACACACAGCACCACGGAGGTTCCATCGCTTCTGATGGGATTTAGCCCTGTGGAGCTGTGGTCTGTAGGCATCTCACAGCCTCTCTGCTGATATGAGGGCTAGATGAGCTGGAATTCATCTCCCAGGAATTCCTGGAGGCAACATGGAAAATGGACCACTGTGTTATCTCAGAGAGAATAGGAATTCCACAATATTGATATGAAAGAGCTGAGAGGATGTTTCATTTTGATATCTTACAAGAAACATCTGTTGAGCACCATGCTTCTTGGCTCTCCTTACCCCAAACACAGAGTTCCAATACATCACCACCTTCTTTTCCTTCTCCTCTGTTGGCCATGTTCATTTTCTTTGTGTAGCTCTGAGTGCTGTACTTGGTGCAGAACTGGTTGCTATTCGTATGCTCCCACCCATCAGTGCTCCATGTGACTTTTAAGACCTCCCCTCACCCTACCTTAACTGCTGCTTGACTTTGCCTTTGACTTGTTGGTATCCTTCATACACGCTCCACATTTTCTTCTGCTTTTCCCTTTTCTCAGTTGTATTTTCCCTGGAGGAGCAGTAGAAGCCCAGCCACCATGCATTCCCTGTGCTACACCATGCCAGAGGGATACAAAAACTCAGTGACCGGAGCCAAATGATTGTTCCATGTATCTGTGCATCAGTGATTTGGGGTGAGTATGCATTTTCTGGTGCTCCTCAAAACATTGGATTGTCCAGCTTCAGCTGCCTGGGTTCAGGTGGAAAATGGACCGGTGCCATCCTGCAGCTCAGCCTTCATGGTGCTGAGGAAGGCAATTGTGTAAATCCACTGTAAGCCTGAATCAAACGCTGCAAGAGGGAAGAGATATTGAAGTATATTGAACCACAGAGGAAAAAAGTCTAAGTGCAATCTGCTCCATTAAAAATTTCATAGGCTGTTACTTTTACAATGCAATTAGCTTTGCAATTTCGATGCTATTGGAAGACCAGCACAGTGGATAATCAGGAGCAGAAATGCCTGTGAAGGCACATTTGCAGAAAACCTTCAGGTTTTAGCTATCTTTCACATGGTATGTTCCTGACTGCACTCACGTGTTGATGACTGTTGTTCAGGTTGGACATTAAGGAAAATTTATTCTCCATAAGAGTGGTGATGCAGTGGCACAGCTGCCCAGGTGGTCACCGTCCCCTAGAGATGCTCCAGAACTGTGGAGATGTGGCACTGAGGGATGTGGTCAGTGGGCATGGTGGGGTGGGTTGATGATTGGACTTGGTGATCTGAGTAGGCTTTTCCATCCTTAATGTTTCTGTGATGCTGTTGTTCTTTCCTCCTTCACTCGTGTCCATTTCTGCATTTTTAGCAAGCAATCTCTGGCCCCATGCAGCTGCTCAGGGTCTGCCAGCAGCGGGGGCTTTGTCAGCAGTTTCCCACATCTGATGCTATAACTTTGGAGGAGTTAATGCTGACATGTAAAGCAGTGAGAGGGCTTTTCATGTGAATTCTGATGAAAAGGATCCCAAGAGCCACATAAACATCTTTCCATGGCTGAATGCTTCATACACAGTTTATGTTTTGTTTTTAACAGAAAGAGCAAAGTGATTTTTTAAATTTATTTTGCTTACTGCAAGACTTAGGGAAAAGTTCCCATTTCTTTGAGGAAGGGCCTGACTCTGGTCCTTGTTGACTGCAGCATGCATTGGCTGCCACACATCACAACTACATTGAGGTGCTCCTGGGCAGAGAAATGTTTTGGCTTTATTTTTATCACAACACATTGCATTTCATTGTGAGGACTCTCAGCCCTGCTGAAGCAGCAGAAGGACTTTAGCACCAAATTAGTGAGACTGCTGGGATGCAGACCTCAAACCTAAAAGCAGCATCTCCATGCAGGAATCCTCATGAGCTCTACTGCGACACCACATCTCTGTATGTCCCAGTGCCCAGACCTGGCAAACTTTGGTGGAAATTCATGGTGTGCATGGGGATAACCTTGCCCAACACAAGCTGTGGACAAATAGAATCAAAGAATCATTAAGATTGGAAAGGACCACTAAGATCATCTAGTCCAACCATTAGCCACATGGTGTGGATCAGGGAGCTTGTTCAACTGACAGCAAGTCCCATAAAAGCCTGTGTTCCTTCCCCCACCCTGAACCCCAGCTCTGCAGCATGCAACCACACACGAATCACTGATGAGATCTTATTCCTTCTGGCTGAAAAAGATAAATTTCCTTAAAAGCCCAGACCCTGACATTTCAGAGAACCAGAGCTGAACACAAAGAATGCGTATTGTTTCTAAATAGATGCATGAATAACAAGAAAAAAAAAAAGTCTTATATTTTTTAGCCAATCTCACAATTTCAAAAACTGACTGATGGTTTTTCTCATGCTTCATGGTGACATTGCCAAGCTTCTGTTGTCAGACTGCTGAAAAGCTTGTTCACTTTCATCCAAATACCAAAAAAATGAGCAAAATCAGATCAGTTTCCTTGTCTCCGAAATTTGGACAGAGGTTGCATCTTTTTTTACAATGCTGTGCCTTAGAAGAAGAAACAGGGGCAGGAAACTGAGCTTCAACACCCAGAGGTCTTCTGTTATCCCTCTTCCAGTCTGTCTCCTCACAACCTTTGCCTTATAAAAAAATATAAAATCATAATTCGACGCAATCCATTTCTGAGTGTGAAACAGCATTGTAACATAGGCTACCATAAGGCTTTTGGGGTTCTAACGTGCACAACATAGCAACTGTTCTGGAATGATTCCCACCTGAGAAGAGGTGCCTCCACTCCTGAGGTGGTCTGTTCCTCTCCACACAGATGTAGCTGAGCTCCCTGAGCACAGAGGATCCTGCTAGCAGAGACTTAGGGTAAATCAGGGATTTTGTTGTCGCTATCTCTGCAGGCAGCCTGGTGCTGCTGTGAGCAGGGTGTGCAGTGCATGCACACTGCTGCTGGAAACCATCTCACTAGGCTATCAGGCCAATTGTTGGACAACCAGATTTTCCTGGTGGGAAATCAGTTGCCAACAGGTAGCAGGTGGTATTTTCTTCCCTTTTCTCTAGAGTAAAAGGCTTTGGGAATGGGAAGTGAATACCTTCAGCGTTCCTCTCCTGCAGCTCTTTCTAATGGGCAGCAGTATGGAGTTGGCACCAGCAAAGCCGTTTATTTGGAAAAAGAGAGGAGAAGTGAACTAAGAAAATAGTGTCTCTAATGGTTCAAGACTGGAGGCAGAACATCCACAATTTACAGATACTATGGCCACTGCAAATACAGCCTGGATTGGGCCTCAGAAAATGAGGAGGTTCTGTTTTCTGTTGAAGGCACCAAAGCATCTCCCTTTAATGTCAGCAGGAGCAGTACATACCTAGAGAGCAGCTCATGCAGACAGAGTGCCACTCAGGAGGTGCAGCTCACTCATCAAACTGCAGAGGGCACAGGACATGGTTTGCAGTGGGCTTTGGCTGCTGTGGGCAGCAGTGCACACGTAGGATATGGAGGCATCAGTCTCTGCTGATGATCACCCGCTGCTCTTCCAGGGCTGGCATGAGATGATGGGCCTTGTGGGTGGTGTGAGGGGGAAGAAAATATGCTCAGAGGCTGAGGTCCCTGGGGGATGCTTGATCCTATGCACCCATTTATCCACAGGAGTTTGTGTGCACAAAGGCTTTCTGTCTTCCCTGGAGATTAGCGATACTTGCTGCTTTCCCCAGCATATAATATTGGTTTGACAACTGTAGCTAACTCGTGGTTCCACTTATTTTTCCCATTATCTAGGAGTGCTGTGTGTGAAGGAGCACAGATCGTGTTTATGCCTACAGATCTCAGATGCAGACAAAGGCAAAGCAGAAATGTCCTTCTTCCCAGCCACTCTCAGTGCTCCAAGCTGGAGGCTTCAGAGGAAATGAAGGGCACAGGGGTTTAGAGGGCATGAGGGTGATGAATTGGTGGTTGGACTTGATGATCTTAGTGGTGTTTCCCAATCTTAATGATTCCATGATTCTATGATAAACAGCATGGGAATAATTTCATCGCCGTGAGTTCTGAAGGATGTAGAGGTGCATGGGAAGCATTGGCATTGCATACCTTCATGCATACAGTTGCTGTGTCTGCATGGTGGGTTTGTGTGGTTGCAATGCGCTTGCATCAGCCTGCATGCACCCAGCACGTGAATCAAAGAACCACAGAATCATAAAGGGTGGAAAAGTCCACTAAGATCCCCAAGTCCAACTGTCAACCAATCCTCACCATGCCCACTAAACTGTGTTCCTCAGTGCCACATCTCCATAGCTTGTGAACACGGATGGTGATTCCACCACCTCTCTGGGCAGCTGTGCCAAGGCATCGCCTCTCTTTCTGAGAAGGAATGTCTCCTAATATCTCACCTGAATGGCTATTCCTGCCCACTGACACAAAGCAGATCCAAGATGTGGCTGTGATATGGGCAAGGACAGTGCCCTGGGTGGAGCTTTAGCACGCTTACCATTTTCATTTTTTATTGACACTTTGAATTGCAAAGGGTCTGATTTGTAGGAGGATATGCAGAGATTTCAGAAGGCATTGGTCAGGGAATCTGTGTTCTTCTGTATGTGGCCTCAGATGTAGAATCATAGAGTCATAGAATGTCTTGAGTTGGAAGGGACATCAAAGATCATCTATTTCCAAGCTTCTGCTATGGGTTGGGCTGCCTCCCACCAGCTCAGCCTGCTCAGGGCCCCATCTAACCTGGCTTTGAGCACTTCCAGAGATGGGGCATCCACAGCTCTCTCAGAAGACTGTGTCAGCACCTCACTACTCTAAGTAATGAATTTCCTCCTAATATCTAAAGTAAATCTCCCCTGTTTTAGTATAAAACTGTTCCCCCTTGTCCCGTCACTGTCAGACTGCATAAAAAGTCAGTCCCTCTTAAGTTGATAAGCTCCCTTCCTGTACTGGCAAGCTGCAGTCAGGTCTCCCAACAGCCTTCTCTTCTCCGGGCTGAACAACTCCAGCTCCCTCAGCCTGTCTTCACAGGAGATGTTCTCCATACTGTGGACCCATTCCAAAAGTTCCTCTAAAATTCCACGTGTGCCAGCTGTGGTCCTGACTGTCCATAAACCTTATTTCTCAGGCCACGTGCAGATTTCCAGCAACTGCTGGCTGCCACCAAAGTGCAACGTTCTGGCAGGGCAATGATGGAGGCACAGCTGGGGTTGCAGCATGGGGGGGGAACAGAGCAGCCCCATGTCACGGTGGAGAGCCGTGCTGCTGCACTGGGCTCTTGGGGGGTGGGATGGGTGACTCAAAAAAACCCATCCAACCCCCAACATGGTGCCAGCAGCACTGTGACCATCAGCTGGGCCCCGTCCTTTGTGACCACCCCTCTCTCTCCTTCCTCCCCATCCTTCCCAGCCCCCTTCCTGACGGGGTTAATTTTATTTTTTTCCTCCAGGGGTTTGCAGCGCTGGCTGAAACGCGCAGGCCAGCTGCCTGCCGGTGGCAGCAGGAAAACAGGCAGACAAAGCAGATGGACCCAGCAGGGGTGGAGGAGCGCTGTCTTCAGTGGGCCATAGGCATCACTGAAGAGTAAACAGCTCTCCGAAGGGAGCCGGGAGCTAACCCCAAACCCATCCTCTCCAAAGCACTCAATCACAGCACATTAACAAGAGCGCCTGGACTGCTGGGGGAGAGTAAACAATGAGAGGCCTTGCTGGTGGGAGAGTGGGAAAAGCGCAGCCCATATTTATTGTAAGAGGGTGTAAAAAGTGGCTCGTGGCTCAGCATGCTGTCAGCGAGCCGCGCTCGTTGTCAGTGCTCATCTCCTTGTAGGAAAGCCGCCCTTTGCCTTCGCGGGTTGAGTGGGTGCCTGCGCGCTGCTGGACACGCAGGGATGCTCAGCGAGGCCAGGAGGCAGCAGCAGAAGTGAGAGGCGAAACCTTCCCTCCCGCAGGCGAATGTGCTTCGATGCTTGCCCTAAACCAGGCAGGGGTAGCATCGGGGCTACCGCTCCTTCCAACCACAGCCACTCAAGTGAGCTGCCTGTTTGGATGAGGGAAGCGTGTTGGGGACCCAGCGCTACTGTCCAGAGCAGGAGGGGGTGATCTCCTCCTGTCCACACCAGTGTGACTTCCTTGGTTTGAGAGCGGCTTCTGATTTATGCCCAGGGGCTGGAGCCCGCTCACCGGGCGCTGCTCTTTCATCTGCAACGTCGCAGAGAAATTTGTTTACAGAGCTCTTGGTGCGCTCACAGATTCTTTCTCCCCTTCCCCCTTTCCTCCAAATCAGCTACAGTTTTCCCTCTCCTTTGGCTCCCGCTGCAAAACCAATTGACCTTTCTGGGCTGTGTCTGACACATGAACCGTGCAAAATCCTTTCTTCTCCCCGAGCCCTGTGCTTGCTTGGGAACGTGGCTGCCTGGAGGAGTGCAAACAGGAGCCCTCCAGCAGCCCTTTGCTGCATTTCTGAGGGCTGCTTTGCTTGTAATGCTGCGCATCCTTGAGAGTGGGTGGCTGTGTGTGTTGTGGCTGAGCTCCCCAGTGCTCTTTGCAAACACTGATGATAGGATGAGGAGGAATGGCCTCAAGTTGTGCCTGGGGATGTTCAGATTGGATACTAGGAAAAACTTTGTTCCAAAAGAGTGGTGCTGCAGTGGCACAGGCTGCCCAGGGAGGTGGTGGGGTCACCGTCCCTGGAGGTGTTCCAGAACCATGGAGATGTGGCACTGAGGGATATGATCAGCATTGTGGGATGGGTTGATGGTCGGACTTTTTCACCCTTTATTATTCTATGATTTCTATGATTCTATGCCATTGTTGTGTTCCAGCGCTACTGAATTTCAGCCAGCGTCTGAAAATTTCTGATCCAGTTGTTCCCTGCTCCCAGTGGGATGTATCCACATGGAAATAGCAAAAGGACATTTTTTTTCTCATCAGGAACACTCAGCAGAGCACTTGTAGGGTGCGGAGAGCTGATCTTACCAGCTTTGTGGTAGTAGCTTTGTGATTTAACCTGGAAAAAGAGTTGCCTGTGCTTGGCCCATTGAGCCACGGAAGACATAAGAAGAGCCACCAATTTGTCATAAATATAGAATATAGTTCTTCTTTTTTTTTTAATTAAATCTAGTGGTTGGCCAACCTGCCCATGGGGATTGAAATTAGATGATTTTTTTAAGGACCCCTCCAACCCAAGTCATTCTGTGATTCTCTGATTCTATGACTGATACTTTCTACCTCTCTTGAGGGTAAAGAAGCATGGTGGAAGGGACAAGTGGTCTGGTGGCCTGGCTGAGATAATCTCTGCAGCCATTTCCAAAGGCTTATATCAGTCTGCTGTGAAACCAAAACACTCTTTAACCCTTCCTGAGCACATGTTGAACCTGGGCCTTTGGGCCACTTATTGACTCAGGTTCAGCTTTGTTGTGTTGCTCATCTGTGCTGCAAGAGAGGGGTTCAGAAGCAGCTTTCCATTGGCAGCAGGTGGAAATTGAGCTGTTCTTCAATTGTGCCAGTGACTGCTAAAGCTGACCTTATCCTGTCTGTCTTGTGTTTTAAAAGCTGGAGTTTGAGGCAGGTGAAAACATACAGGTGTTTTCTTCTTCTTGTCTGAAGTAGCTGTGTTATATGCCTTGGTGAAACCTGAGCTTAATTCACCTTGGCCATAACATATCAGAGGAAATATCAACAGTATAAATCATAGCAAACACGAGGATGGAGCTCTGAGAAAGTGCCGAAGTGGCCAAGAATACATTAATAATGAAGGCTGCTCTGGCCCAGTTGCAAGACAAAAAGGTCCCATCTGTACAAAAAGGCATCAAATTGCCCCAGAAAAGAAAACCATGCAAGCTGAGCCTTCTCTGAAACTCAAAACACAGGGATCCTCTGGGGAACCCAACTCTGTCTGGGTGGTACTGAGCAAGGGGAGCTCTCCTGGACCAGGCCATACCCCCGACCCATTCCCACACTCGTGAATGTCAGCAGAAGATTTTCACGAGATTCAAGGAGAGCAGTGATGTAACTCAACGATGGGATCTCCCCCCTTTCTCTGGAAAAAAATAAGTCTTCAAATTGAGTAAAATATAAAAGCGTTTTCTTCGCTTAGGCCTCCTACAAGTGAATTCCTCTGGTGCCGGTGATGGGCTCCTATTCTCCCTGGGAAATACATCAATTTGATTTTCTCCCTCAAAGGATTCGTCACTGAAAGACAACACCACCCTCTTCCACCCAGCTTTTCAGTTGCCTCCAGGTGCTTGGGGAATACCAGTGAAAGGAGCCGCTCCTTGCTTCTTTTCCTTCCCCTTTTATTTCTCATGATTGCTTCCTCTCTGATCTTTTTTTTTTTCCCCTTGAAAGAACACCTTCCTTCCCACCAACTGCACTGCCTGCTGTGGCTCAGCATGTCCCAACATCCGTCCTGGCAGCCGTCCCTCCCTTCCTATCTGATTCCTCTATATTTTCATTATTTGTTGAATAAAATTACTGATAGCAGCAACAGAGCCCAAGTGCATAGACCATGCTGCAGGGTGGATGCAGAACTGCACTCTTGATGTAACTGTAGAATAATTCCACATCTACAGCAGAGAGTGGCAGAGCCCCTGTCACTGTTTCTATGGGACTGCTGGTGATGGGCAGCTCTCCTTGTGGTGTGATGCATATTCAGCAGCCCCCCGTCTCCCCTGGACACTGAAACAATTCACTCAGGTGGCTGACAAGAAATGTGGTGGACTCCAAACATGCCCTGATGTTTTCATCCCTGATGTTCCCCTTCTGTCGCCCCTAGGGTTTAACCTCTATGACACCAGTTTTTCTCCCATGACCAAATACATGCTCCTGAATTTGGGGAGGATGCATGTGTTTATCAGAGTTGTGTGAAATGCTCTACTTCTTCCTTGCAGGAGGACAGAAGAGGAAATGGTTTGTTTTGAAGATGTGCCATGATAGGCAATTCATGCTTGCTTATGTTTTCACACATGCCAGCTTGGATAACTTGGGTGGAAAACTGAAGTGAAGCAAAGTCCTCAGCCTCTCATAGCTTTGGCAGCAGTCACCAGTGGCCTCCTAGAGCTGAGCTGTTGGAGAGCATCTTGACCCCAACCCAAGGGCTGGAGGTGACTGCTACACTGCTGTTTTAGGGATCTTGAGTACTCTAAGTGCTTTATTTCCTAAAGCAAACAAAAATGCTGCTCCCATCTGCCCTTCAGAGGCACTCAGGAGGCATCCGAGTAAGCTCTTAGTTTTGGGAATGAGTTTGCCTTCTTCCCTGAGATATGATAGCCTGCAACTCAGGAGATCACGGAGCATGCCATATTCCTGACTGCCCAGGAGCGTTCTATCAGCCCATTATAGGCCTGATACTGGATTAAGGACAAAAGCTTACCAGCCAGCAGTAGGGATGCATGAAGTTTTGTCTGTGAAAGACCACAGAACGCTTTGGGGTTGTTGGAAGATGGGTTTTGTATGCAGCACATCCTGCATCTCAATGCTGCTTTCCAGAGCTGTTTGCTAGCAAATTGCCAGGATTTGAAATTCAGGTAGGTTGCAGGATGAAGAAATACCCTTCCCACATTGCTATGACCTTTTTGGTGGTTTATTTGTTAAAGGCATTACTGTTCCCCTCGGGAATGGTGCCTTCCTCTGTTTTATGCTCTAAGGATGTGGCTCTTTTCATGTTTATCTTTGATTCAAGCATTGTAAAGAGCAATCCCTCGCACTTATGTGCTTCATTGTATTCTGGCCATGAGAGATTCTCCCCCACTGTTTGTAGCCTTTTTTCAGTGCAGCTAGTAAAATATTTGAACAGGAAAAAAAAAAAGAAAGAAAAAAGAAGAAAGAAAAAAAAGAAAGAAAAAGAGACACTAAACAGCTTCCAGCATTTAGAGGATAAAATGAGATGTAAGGAAAAGGACGACTGTGGTTAATGCACAGGGCTGGGAGGCCTCAGATGGACCATGGCCTCTCTTCGTTTCTCTTCTGACTTCTTCTGTGACTTTGTCTAAGTTATTTGACCTCCTCCTGCTGTAGCTCTGGGGTGTTAAACACACACCATGTTTTCTGCTTAGAAAACCCAAGCTTGCTGTCCCCAGACAGCAGAGCTCAGCACTGCCCATCCGCTCCCAATGAGGAACTGTATGGCCATGAGCCCTCATCATCCTCTGCTCTGTGCCCAGCAAACTCAGGGCTGTCAGCTACCGCTCACACTCCTTGCCCTCCCCTGTGGATGCATATCAGCACGTGATACAGCCTGGTTTTCTTCCCTAATTTTGGATGACACATGGAAGCTGATTTGCACAGGGTGAATGCAAACCAATGGCTCATCCACTGAAAAATAATTAAATTTCAATGGGTTACAGCAGGAAAGCTGGAATCCAAGGATCCTAAGATTGGTTATGTTGGGGTGCTTAAGGGGAAACCTCCAGTGGGCAAGGATCTGTTGTAGTCCAGATAAGCCCTCACAATTCAGAGTTTTCTTAAATTTCTGGGGCGTAATGGCACAGCTGGCGACAGAGTGCCAAGTGAATATTTGACATAAATAAACCAATGTTCCTATGTGGGAGAAGGGCAGAGGGAGCCTGTGAATTAATGATCAGCTTTTAATTTGTCCTTTCATTGGAATCAATGAAAATGTCAGGATGATTGAGGTTTATGTGCTCATGGGAAAGATGTGAGCCCGAGAGTAAGAGATCAAGGCTATTTTTTAATATATTTGTTTCACCAAGGAAGATGCTTCCCTTCATCTCTGATACCAGAGAAGGATTTGCTATGGGTGAATTCCTGAGAAAGCCTGGGCGGTGTGTATTGGAACAGGATGCCCAGGGAGGTGGTGGAGTCACTGTCCCTAGAGATGCTCAAGAACTGTGGAGATGTGGCATAGGGAGGGACGTGGTCAGTGGAAGTGGTGGGATGGGTTGACAGTTGGACTAGAAGATCTTAAAGGTCTTTTCCAACCTTTCTGATTCTATGATTCTGTAATTCATTCAAGTCTCAGCAGAAACTTGCCACCCTCAAGCTGTGGGCTGCTGGCTATCCTTGGGCACTGGTTCAGCCTACCTGGTGCTGGTTTTTCTGGCTGCAGGCATATCCTGTTTGCTCACCCCAGTGTCAGATCTGCTGTGGGAGGCACAGGGCTGGGTGCAATTCCTTGTTGAAAAGGGCAGATCCTGATGATGGATGTGAAAAACTGGCACTTATGTCCTGGAGGCAGAACTGGCTTTGGATCCGGATGCTGGCTGCTGGAAATACTGCTGTTTGATCACCTGAAATGGGCACCTGCATCCTTTTTTTCAGCCAAAACAGGGGTTTCTGCATCAGAGCTTGTCACAGAGCTATTAGTAAAGTAGTCAAGTGAGTGGGCATGGGTTTAGCTTCCTATAGGTGGCAGGGGGAACCTGCAGGGTGAACAGTGGCCTGGAGTGGTGGATTCATTTGCACATTTCCTCTGTCTTGATGGAGGCTTCATGCAGCCCCTTGGCACAGAGGAAGTGTCTGCAAACTGCCAGGCACGCTTTGGCCTAATTAAATATTCATGGTGACAAAATGTCACAAGCACAGGGGAGTTTTCAGCAACTGCTTCACCCCCGCTAGCAGACACCCTGCTCACTGCAGCAGGGCTCCTGTGATGCATTCCCACCCTTCCTCTGCACTCAC